GATGGAGTCTAGTTTTTCCCGCTTGGGCAAGAATACACTTGTCCACTTTAGGATAACTGAGGAATGAGGCAGCCTGCTAAGACCTGCCCTGTGAGGGTGAAAAGATAGAGAGAGGGGTATAAGGAAAAGGGCGAGAGCTAAGTAGATAAATGAGCACCAGAGAAAGAGGTGCACAGATCCACTAGGAGTACAGCAGTTTTTATTGTTTACCTGGTCTTCTCTGAGGGGCAGAAGAAGCACAAAACAGGTTAGTGCTCACAGCTTAAAGAGATTTCAGGGCTTAAAGAGCATAAGGAGGGTGCCTCATTTTGAGTGCGTGGACTTTTGTGGACTTTGTTGCTGATGTTACTCTTGCCACAATAGAAAGCTTGACCTAAAGTGTGAAAACCAACTAGAGTTAACACACAGCCATCCATTGAGTCACTCTGAAGAGGAGAAAGCCTCTCACCTACAGTACAGTGATTCAGACATTATGCAGAAAGGGAAGTATTTAGCCTTGACAGTTAAATGTTAGCCTGTATCCATGTTGGGGCCTGAGGGCTTGGCTGTTACATAGAACTAATTTGCATGTGTGGATTTTTTCTTATACCCACAAAGGCTCTGATTAATGTATCATGGAAATGGATCAGTGTTGAAATCCAGTGATTTAGTTTCTGTGTTTTGATTTTACTTTACAACCGAGTCAAGTCTGCAGAGCTTCTATGGCAAGGGGGAGGGTTTCTGTGTAAAGAAGAGGTCATAGGTATACCTAGCTGAGCCACGTTTGTTATATTGTTTTAGTACGAGCTGTGTCATCTGTGGTCAGACGCAGGAAGTGAGGAAACCTCTGTTTGCTTCCTATTTCCTGTCTGTGATGTCATCAAGAATGCAAGCAGCAGCTCAGAGCCGATCGAACTTCTTGCTTTGCAAGAGCCTAAAAGGTGCTTTTGAGGTTCAGGGTTTCTGTGTTTGCGCGTGTCTGTCTGCAATCTCAGTTTTCACCATATTAGGATAAACCCAAGTATGTGTACCTATGGGGAAGTAAGAAGTGGTAGTGTTTAAATTGGGACCAAAATAATTGACTATTTTGAGCATACGTACCTTAGAAGATTGGCCCTACGATAAATATCTTAATATATAAGAAAATTTTATGTTGTTAATACAATTCAGAGATGACTAAGAAACTTTTTACTCTTGTAGCCAGCGTTTGAAATGACCTTTTGTGATTCTCCGAGCAAACATTTTTCTTGCCGGCTACTACTGTGCCTTGGATTGGCTAGTTTTTTGCCACTTCTTTATGGTTAGATGGTTAGGAGTGCCTCCTCATGATATACATGTGTCTGTGCATGTGTGGGTGAGTGAAAAGACTATTTAGGTACACGCATGAATGCACCAATGTGTCAGATGTACTTGGGGGGTGGACAGAAAATACAGCTGCAATTTGCACTTGCCACATGTTAAATATGGACATTGGTTGTTGCTTTATATAGTTTGGGACTTTATTCATGTCACAGATTAAGAGATGCTTAATGATTAATGATCATGCTGTACATGCCAATAAAGAAGCAAAACAAAGTTTCTTACATCAATTTCTAGTCCCTGTTTGTTTGTTATTGCACACTATTTCTAAAGAGATGGTCTTTTATGCAAAATATTGATCTTAAAAGTATCTAATAACAGTGCATTTCAGATGTGGTGGTGTAAGAAAAGTTTATTTTTTTCTGAGGTTCCCTGAAAACTGAAACATGGATGTATAAACAAGTACTAGGGCTGTGCGATATGACCAAATTCTGTGCATCTCAGGCAACTCAACTTGTGTGAAGTGTTTTCAGCTGGGCGTCGTGTACCTGGAGTCCAGTGTTTTGACCGATGCATGAAACTGCTGCGAGGAAAAGCCTGTTCTAACATTTGAGTCTAAGGTTTATTTTGAGCACCTGATGGCTCTTTTTTGTTTCTCATCTGTAAACTCTCTCCATAGTCTTTCACGTAATTCTTGCGTAGCTGGTAGAAGAGGTTTGTCATGTTTGAGTCTGGTGGGGACTGGTTTGCGGCATAATTTGCATAGTAGAGTTTTCTGGTTTGTGTCAGACTTTTCATAACCAAACCATGTCAATGCTACAGAGGTGGCCCCTCGTTTAGGAATAAGGTCCTTGATTTGTTTTCACTGTTCCTTCTGTTTGGAGCTACTTGGTTCTGCCTCCTCTTCAATGGTTATGCTGGTATTCTCTGTGCCCTGGTGAAAAAATATTGCCATAAACAGTGTATTTTGCAACACAACAAAGCAAACGATAATGTATAATTTGAAACGACGGATGTTTCCATATCGTCATCCGATATATTTTGTCATAGCGTAACAGCCCTAACAAGTACCTCTGCTTACTCCCATTTTCTATAGTACTAATATTCTTGAATTCTTCAACAACATAACTTTCTGAGTGCATGACTCACAGTTAAAAATAATGCTAATCTATATTATATACAGCCTTGGTCATCTTCTGTCTGAAGCATTAAACGTTATTCTGATTGGCTGCTTCTTGCAAATAGAAGGTTTCTGTGCTGACAACTTGTGTGTCTGAGATGACCATATAAGGACATGTGCTTTCATTGACATCATGCAGATCTAAGAGTACAGAAACTGTCTGAAACGGTGTGCTTAGAACAGTCTGAATCCTGAGCTTTTGCCTCACTGGAGGTACTTGAACATTTGAGACTTTGGCAGTCGTTAATTTGACCATCCAACATGTAAAAGAAACATGTTTGTGTTTTATATGGATTTTATATATAGACACTATATTATTCAAATATTGATGATGGAAAATATATGGTATAGCCTCTTCTGAATGTGATCCAAACTGTCTTTTATCTGTGCATGGACTCCTCAAATTTCTCTCCATTACTGGATGAATGCAACCTGCAGCTGTTCAGTGGGCGTGGGCCGTGGCTGCCCCTAATGAACATATCATCATGCCATATCTCAAGCGTGTTCAGTAGGAGGTATATCAGGACTAAATGCTAGCCAGGAAGTGTCTGGATGTGCTTGTCATCCAGAATGAATGGCAGAAGTATAGGTTAGAAGACCTCGTCCCAGTAGCTTTGTCCAGTCAGAATTCCACCAGCAACGGTCTGAGCATGCCGACATGCCAATACCAGATTTTAATGTGAGTCAGTCACAGTGGCACTGAAGACAACATAAAGTGCTAAACTGACCCAGTTCTGAATTGCACAAGTGAGTTCATTTGTGTTTGGTAAAAAGTAAAAACCCAATTGACTGAAACAACAAACTAACAGAATATGTTTGGGTTCTCTATGAGATTATAATGACATACCAAAACAAAGGTTGACAACACATTTCATGACATAAAATGTATTTATTTTTGACTAGTATATAACTAAATAAGGAAAGGAATAACAAACTTCTAAAGTTCAGTCTGAACACTGTTTTTAGGCCCTACTACCCTGATCAGGCCCTTTTTTTAGGGCTGGTCTTTTCCCCTGTTATACACTTGTCATACCATTTGGCGTAACACTCATTTGCGCACTCTTATTCTCTTTCTGTCTGCTTTCCTTCCTCATTCATTTGTAACCGACTCAGCACGTCACTTTGCCGTTCAGCGTTGCTTCCTGTTCACATTTGGCTGGTTCCCTTCGCTCCAACAGTCAGAGCCGATTCTCACATTGCAGCATGGATGGATTAGTTATGTCTGTGTGAGTTTTTTCTTTCTTTCTAAATGTATTGTTTGGCTACTTCTTTTTCTGTGTGTGGCGTATGCTAAGCTTTATTCGAAGCAGCAACCATTTCTCTCTAACAGCTTGGCCTAACGTGCAATAGAAGTATTGCGACATGTGAAAAAACAGGAAGAAGAGGACCGCAGTTTTAGTGTGCACTGCGCTTTTTGGATGTTTGTGAAATTTGTGGATTTTTCTGGATGTCTGTTAAATTTGTGGACCCTGATTCTGCAGGTCGAGGTGAGTGTAGATGTGTGACAGCGGAGTGTGTGAGGATAAGCCCCCCGCCCCCCCTGTCAGGATGAGCAGCCAAGGAGGAGTCAAAGACGCCCAATCGACCAATCACAACTCTCGGCCACTTCCGTCTGCACCAGAGGAGAAGAAGCCTAGAAACAAGATCATCTCCATCTTTGGAGAGAAAGGTGAGACGTGGAGCACACACACATAAGTAAACCCAGACATTTGATATACTGCACAGTACCACAATAAAAGACCACACGAGTGGCCATGGAAGAATGTCACTTTGACCTCTGACCTTTGTCTGCAGCAGGCAAGAAAAAGGACCGGGATAAGGACAGACCTGAAATCTCCTCCCCATCAGACTTTGAACACACCATCCATGTGGGTTTTGATGCTGTTACTGGAGAATTCACGGTAAGTACCTTAAACAATGACCAGTGTTCACTTGCAAAATGAGATTTTAATTCATGCACTGATCTCACTGATACCTTGGCTTAAGGTATCTGCAGAGTACATCGAGTGTTAAATTAATGAACTGTAATCATATCTTTAAGGAAGAGTCTGGGAATGCTTCTTTTATGTTTGAGTAAACATCAGGCTTGATTAAAATATGACTTTTCTTATTCATTGATAAAATATTAAATGATGAGATGAAAATAAAATAAACACGTTCGTGTTGTTAATTTTTTTCATCCATCCGTCCATCGTTGGCACTTAGCAGTCAGTCACAGGGCTAACAAAGCGAGACGGGTTTTGCAGTGCCAGTTTCACCAGCACTGCAAAAAGCCCTTAATTAGACAGCTGAGATGTCTGCATGCTGTCATCTTTTTATATTCCTCAGTGCCACATCATATATTTATTTGGTCTAATTGTTTATCAGTTTATGATTTTCCATCGAGAGGCATTTTGACGTGAGCAGGTTGAACAGGCAAATTTTAATAGTAAATAATTTCTAAACATAGTTGGTTTATTAATATGTGCTTATGTGGATTCAGAGTCAGTAGTATGAGCAGAAACTAAATTACCTGATTCATTTTGTTAAGGTAAACATTTTAGTTATTAATCATATTATAGCATATTAATTACAGGTTCAGTATCTAATAATTGGAGTGATTTCTGATTTATACTATAATTGGCAAGCAGTTAAAAGTTACTGTCGCTGTGTAAAAGATGCAATTATCGCATTACATCTTTTACTTGCAGTCCATTATAGGTTAGGTATGTCAGCAATCTAACTTCAGATTTGTCAGTTAGTTCAGTGTGGTATGCAAAAGTTATTACTGTTAATCTCTGTAAGATCTGGTTTATTTGGACTAGCTTTGTTTACCATGTAAATCTCCACTTAGGAAATACTTGCTGTAAATAAGATAACTTGTGAGATTGTCAGCTGCAGTGCTTGCTGGGACAAGATGAGATCGCTGCAGCTGTCTGAGATTTAAAAAAAAAAGAAGACGAATTTGTAGCATGCATTTGTGACTGTAAGACCCCTGCACATGGAACTTCACTCAGAAATGTTCTAGATGTTTTTTGGTGGTTGGTGCACTCATGTGTAACTAGAGCTGGAGCCGAGCTTCCAGAGAAGTTAATCCAGTGATTCCACTGTGACGAGCCATGGAAAGTCCCAGGAATTTCCTGTTGTGCTGCTGTAAGATTTCTTGGTCAGGCGTGCAATATTTCATGCCCTCCTCTGTGTGGAGTCAGCATAAGTATTATATTCTTTAACCCTTGAAAACTGGAAGTCAGAAGACGGGTGACTTTTTTTTTTTTTTGTTCTTGTTTTATTCAAAAAGAGATTATTGACATAAGCTAAAGGAAGTAAGAGTGAGAGAAAGGAACTACTGGCTAAAAAGGAATGGATGTCCAGCTGCATGAAATACTCTTCACTGTAAAAAATTGTATCTGTGGGTCTCTTTGTGCAGGGCATGCCAGAGCAGTGGGCCCGTCTCCTTCAAACTTCCAACATCAGTAAATCAGAACAGAAACAAAATCCTCAGGCCGTCCTTGATGTTCTCAAGTTCTTCGACTCCACCAGTGGAAAACAGAAATACCTCAGTTTTTCTGGCGCGGGTTAGTTTTCTTTTTCTCAGCAGATAAATAAAAGCACGGTTTGGTGCAGGCTCACTTTTCTGTTCTTAAACTTTGAATTATTTTGTCTCTTTCAGACAAAGGATCACAGTCGGTGAGTAGCTCCATATATTTTTTCCTACTTTTATTCACTGCCTTTATTTGCATCAGCAAATTCAGACTAAAGTGCTATTTATGCGTTTATTGTTGCAGCCAGGCAAGCAGGGTACTGCAACCTCCCCATCAGGCAAGGATGACGACGACGACGATGAAGTTGATTCGCCGCCACCAATCGTGGCACCACGGCCAGAACACACGAAATCAGTGAGTTTGATGTTTTGTTTTCACAACTAAAATTAGACAGTAAATTAAAATAAATATATTGTAAGAATTTAATAGTCAAAATTGCTAGCAGGTTCAGTCGAAGTTTAGTATTTATTCAGGACTCATGGGGGTTTTTTTTGTTTGTTTTATTTATTTATTTTTTTGTGTGTGTGTCAGATGTACACGAAGACAGTTGAACCAATCCCAGCTCCAGTTGGAAATGCCACCTCTAAGGCAGCTGACAAGCAGAACAATACGCCAAGAAAGATGACTGATGATGAAATCATGGAAAAACTAAGTATGCAAAGCACCCACACACTAAAAATCATGAATCACAGCCCAACAGTATTTTTGGCTCTGGTGAAGCACTATTCACTTTATTTATTTTTTCCTGATTCTCAGGAACGATTGTGAGCATTGGAGATCCTAAGAAGAAATACACTCGCTATGACAAGATCGGTCAGGGGTGAGTTTTAATTCTGGCCACTGTGTATACTGAAAAATGTGAGAATGTGTAGCAAGTTGCTGGTTCAAAATGACAAGTTTAGTAGAATAAATTATGTACAGTAATTGTTGAAATTTTCACTTCTAGAGCGTCTGGCACAGTTTACACAGCCATCGATGTTGCCACAGGGCAAGAGGTAAGTGTTGGAGCCACTACCAAAATGTCTACCTCACATTTACCTCAGTTTTCAGAATGAAGTTGGATTGGGATTTATTTATTTAATTATTTATTTACAAGTTATTAATATATTATGAAACACGTTCTGGTGGGGTTTTTTTAGTTCATAAAGTTACTTGAGGTGAGAGAAACACAATCGCAGCACATACTCTCTTTAGTTTCAGTGGTTTTAATATGTTAGAAGCACTAAACTATGTTGCAATATTGCTGTTTTGTTTCCGTCACCCTGTAGGTTTTTTCCCAAGAAGATATTAGGAGATCACAGTGGAAAAAAATGCTTTTTTTCACAGCACACACTTTGATATGCCTTATCACAAAAACCACACGTGGTACTTCACTGACTGTATTAAACTTAGTTTGTTTAATTTTGATATCGAATTTCATGATTCTGGCATTCTGCTGAATTAGCTTATAGAGATTTCTGATGTAAAAAGTTGCAAATAACATTTGCAACTTGTGAATCTTGTGATTAATCAATCAATCTCAGACTACAGCTGGAAACCAGAAAGCTTATCATACTTTTAATCTTGTCCTTGCCTACAGCGGTTTATGCTGCCGAGTCTTGGGCGTGCTGGCTGTCGCACTCATTGCTAGCTGAGAGATTTGATAAAAATGAGCCATCGCTAATGAAATTTGTTTAATCTGTGTTTTAATAGTACAAGTACACTACCGGGTCTGTACCAAGACTTCAAACCCCAGCATTTAGTCCTTATCAGAAGAATATACATTTTTCATATTGCAGTTATGGCTGACAAAGCAGTTTATTTTTTCTTTTGTCTTTACAATTTTACATCTCCTAGATTTGACTGTCCAAATTCAGGAAAAAATTAGTTGCACCTTGTGATTGCTCAGATAGGTTTTGTGTGTGTTTTGAAGCAAATTTACAATATCTTGTCTTCTGCAGGTTGCCATCAAACAAATCAACTTGCAGAAGCAGCCAAAGAAGGAGCTAATTATCAATGAGATCCTGGTCATGAAGGAGCTGAAGAACCCCAACATTGTCAACTTCGTAGACAGGTAACATGCTGCACAGAAAAACATACAATACACCTCACAACACCAGCTGTGAGTGGACCGCTCTGTAAATCCGACCGTCTGTGCGTGTTTATAGTTTCCTTGTTGGAGACGAGCTTTTCGTGGTAATGGAATACCTGGCCGGCGGGTCGCTAACCGATGTCGTGACAGAGACCTGTATGGATGAAGCTCAGATTGCTGCTGTCTGCAGAGAGGTAGGATCTTTCTCAGACAGCCGAGCTAATGAAAACAGTTTGTCTATTGCAATTTTGGTGGATTATAATCTTCCTACCTACATACGTTCAGGTCCTTCAGGCCCTGGAGTTTCTCCATGCAAACCAGGTCATCCACAGGGACATCAAGAGTGACAACGTTCTCCTTGGGATGGACGGATCAGTCAAACTCAGTGAGTGAGAACGCACGCAGATGTGTACACATCCACGGATTGATAATATACTTCGAACAGAACAACGCACTGCTTTTTCTTCTAATCTCAATTTGTTTTTCTCTCTCTTTGCAGCTGACTTCGGTTTCTGTGCTCAGATTACCCCAGAGCAGAGCAAGCGCAGCACCATGGTGGGTACACCCTACTGGATGGCTCCAGAGGTAGTAACCCGGAAAGCCTATGGACCCAAAGTGGATATTTGGTCTCTGGGGATTATGGCCATAGAGATGGTGGAGGGAGAGCCTCCATACCTAAATGAAAATCCTCTCAGGGTGAGTGTGTGTTAGGAGCAGCAATGCCTGTTGTGATGTTTGTACAGTTACCTACACTAATACCTCCACTACGGGTTCAATATGCGAACCTGAGATTTAAGCTGCAAGTTTTTTGTTAAAGTTTTATCTTGAAAATCATAAAAAAGGAAATGTTAGTCTATTTTTTTCAGAATGAAATAATGCAGAAAAAGGAGAAAATCCTGACATTTAAGATGTTGGAAATAGAACATGTGTCACAGCTCTGTGGATGGAAATGTGCACATTCTGCTGGTCAGTACGTCAACCGTGTTGATCCAGGCTAAAATACCTCAGCAACTACCGAATGGAAAACCATTACAGTATAACCTCGTGGCTGAGACGCTGAACCCTGGTGACATTTGCGATCCTCTATTTTTGGATAGATGTTCGCTTTTTCACTTCACTTAAACCTAAAAATATGACAGCATCTACTAGATGGACAGGAAAATTTTTTTTAAAACAATTCCTTAATGAAGAATTCTGACTTTTCCTATAGCACCACCTTGAGGTTGATGATTCTCTTTGTTTGCACAGTAATTTATGGGAAAATCTTTCCTAAAGTAAGATGATGAACATGGGGAACATTACACCTTCTTATCACTAAGCATGTGTCAGCGCAAGCATGTTATTGTTGCAGTTTTGGTCAAATATGAAAGGCTTACAGAGCTCATAGCAGGGCTGTAATGACTGGAGTGTGGCTTCTATCCAATCCAGCTCTGTGCAGTTATGGCAGTTTTTACTGATTTTCCACAAAAGATTACACACAGTAAGCAAAGATAGGAAATAACTGAACTGATAGCATTATTGCTTTAAAAAAACCTCAATAATGTGAAATTTATCACAATAACCGTGAAGGTAAAAATCTGGTGTTTTGACTGTCCCAATCCAATTTATAAGAAATTACATTTGTGTTTAAAGACTAGTGCTTAAAAATATTTTGCCCTACACTTCTTACTTTGCCATTATCCTGGTTTTAGGCATTGTATTTAATCGCCACCAATGGGACCCCTGAGCTACAGAACCCAGAGAAGCTGTCTCCTGTGTTCAGATCTTTCCTTAACCTTTGTCTGGAGATGGACGTGGAGAAACGAGGGTCTGGCAGACAGCTGCTGCAGGTAGAAAAGACCTATTCATTCGACCGAAATTCAAGATGTCTTTAAATGTTGAATCTAGATTTTTTTTTTCTTATGCATCTCAGTGAATTATGTACACTGTTATCTAAGTTCACCCCCTAACTTATAAAATTTCACATATCCACTTTTTTCCATTCAGCATCCATTCCTGAAGGTGGCGAAGCCTCTATCCAGCCTCACCCCGCTCATCCTGGCAGCCAAGGAAGCCATCAGGAGCAATCGCTAAATCCTGGCCTGCAAAGACTCCAAGCCAGCATCTCCTGCTGGTCCACATATGACGACTATCTGCAGTGTGTTAGTGTTAATGATTTTTTCCAAAAGGGCATAAAATGCTGCTCCACTCTTCCCCGTGTTTCCACACAGATATTTATCTTACCTTTGTGCCTTGTTCTAAAGCTGCATATAGCCATAATATGTTATCCATTTGTTTTGTGTTTGTATGTATGTGATGTTGAAACTGGTTATCTGTGCATAACCAATGCATTATCATTGTTAATTTAGACACCGAGGGCCATATTCGTAAAGAATCTTGGTTTACGACTTGTTCTACTAAAAAGCCCAGAACAGAACAGAGGTGAACCTTACGCTTAATTAATAAAATTGCTATCTTTACGTTGATCTTTTTATTTGTGAACACTGTGTCAGTAAAGTGACATATCCTAATTAAAATGGAAAAATAAATGCCAGGAGCTTCACGTTTAAATTATTTTCTTCTCTTTAGATCTCAGTGTTATGACAGGAGCACAACATGGTCTTGTTTATCATTCTACCATGTGACCATGCAGCTGGTTTCTGTGGTTATTTCTGCTGTGGTTACACATGTGCGTTGTGACTAACTGGATCCAAAACTTTTAAATGTGACATTAAAAATCATGGTGTGCTAAAACTGTGCCCGAGGATGGGACAATGCAGTCTTTATGGAGTGAAAAACAAGGCCAGTGTACTGTATCTGAATGAAAATCTTCCCATTCCAGTAAAGTCGGGTCTTTGTTATATATTTTTGTTTGCAGTCTGCTTTTTTAATTATCTTAAATTGGTAGTTAGGGGTATTGCAGGCACCAAAAAACAAAATTACGCATACAGCTTTGCCATGAAAACATATCTGCAGGATCTCCTACAGATTATGGATCTGAACACTGTTTACTGCATGACCAATACTTTTTGGCTTATCAGTTCAGCCACACTTTTTCTCAGAAATCTTTGTCGTCATTTTTTCTTTGTTTCTCTTTGTCTTTTCTAATTGATGCCTTATTGTTGGTAGTAGTGCAACAGAAATGCTGTATGCAGTTGTTTGACAGCGTTAAACTGGAGGATTTTTTTTTTTTTTAATTTTTACATTTTGTATATTTGTGTAGTGTCTTGTATTGTGAACAGCTTTTAGTATGTACATTGTTTTATATTTGTAACTAACATAACAGAAGAGCATTTCAGGGTTTTTTTTTTCCAGAATTTTTTTCTTGTTTATCAACTCATCATTGGTTTCCTTAACTGTGCAATTATGAGCTCAGAAATTAGTAACACTATATAATACGGCCCACGATTTAAAGGTGTCTTTCACCTGTAATTAAAAGGAATTTTAGTGTTTTTTATTTGAAATTACAATATAATTCTATTTACCTAAAAATACTTATAGTTGGATCCAGATAGCTTGGTAGGCTGGAATATGAGGGCAATCAGTCAGAATTTTACAAGAAACAAAGAAATTGTTAAATAATTAAGTTTAGGCAGCGTGCAATTTGACAAACAGTGATTCCCCATCGTACTTTTCATGGTGGGGCCGTATTATAGAGTGGATTAATCTTGCCTTTTTACATCCTTATTTAATATTCATTATGTTGATGTTGCATGATGGATGTTCTATTATCCTTTTATTTTACCAAAATACATGTGATGAGAACTGTCCTCCCTTACCAACTTGCAAGAAAAAATAAATACCATCAATAATTGCAGGCTTATGTAAGCTCGATGATGAAGTCTTTTTTTTCTCACAAAAATTGTTCAAACGTAATTTTGAAAAGTAGTGTAAGGCATGTCTCCTTTCCTGTAAAATGACTGGATGTTAAACAAGGTTAAGCCACTTCACAATTTAGCTCACACGCCCAAAACTAAAGTGTGCTTACAGTGTCAGATGGGGAAATATAGTTTTTCTGCAACGATTACAAAAAAAAGTTACGCAGTACTTAGCGTGTAATTTGAGTCTCCTTCCCTTTGAAATTTAAGGAGCACTTCAAATTATGTATGCACTACTTCTTCTTTCATTCATTACAAAATAGTTAAATTTACTTACATTACAATGATTTCTTTGTTTCTGACCAACAATGTCGTTTTGAAAATCTCCTGTAAAAACCTGATTTGTTACCCTCTTATTCTAGTGTAGTTAACTTAGTATGTGTAGGTAAATATAATTGCTATATAAGTATTCATTTAGAAAATATAATTTATAATAGTATTAGAAAATATAATTTCTTGTAGTATTAGAAATTATGGCCGTATTATAAAATATTACCTCAAAATCATATAATGTATTGAGAACCCTGAGATGCTCAGACCTGTGTTAGGCATCATTTAGAAATAAAATGGGAAAAAAGTGTTTGTTTTAGCGTGACTGGAATAACAGCTGCGATTGGCTTCTACTACCTCATTTTTCATAGTTCAAGTTTAGACAACGACTGGAAACAATGAAACGTTGCTTGTAACATATCCTTGATGCGGTAAAAACGTGTGTAATTTCGGCAGAAATTATAATAAAGGTGAGCCTTAAAGATTTGTGTCTCGGTTAATATGAATCATAGATGTAACTAAAGTTGAAGTGACTGTTGGCATTTTTTGTCTTGACTACGAAAAAACGACCAAAAAGGATGGTATGCAGAAAACTTAAGTAAGATAATAAAAAGAGTAGTGAGGAAGTTCTGCAGAAGTTATCTTTTGTTGTTTATTAACGTTCACGTGTTGTATAAAGAGTTATTCACCCGATGATTCAAAACAGGAAGCTGACGAGGTTGTGGATGCAATGATAAAAGAAAGTGACGGGAGGCTTCTTACAGCCAGGGGGATTAGCTCAAATGGTAGAGCGCTCGCTTAGCATGCGAGAGGTAGCGGGATCGATGCCCGCATCCTCCAATATTTAATTTTATTTTTTTGTTATTGAATATTTGTTCTTTCATTTTCATTCATACATTAACTATAAGTAACCGATGACCTCTTAACAAACTCTGTCAAATGATCAGCGAATTACGCGGAGCAGCCGCACGTGTAAAGCACTGTTACTGTTAATTCCACAAAAAACCAGCAGATGGCAGCATAGACTCATAAACGATTGATCTCTCCTCTGTCTATATTCATTTAGTTTAAAATGAGCGTGTATTTAGAGCCACGTGTTCAGGTCGGTTTGTGTATTTTTTTTATTATAAGGAACGAACACGTCAAATGGAGGACCAACATGGCCAAAGTAGTTTAATTAATTAGATTATATACAAAGAAATACAAATATGCTTTATGTATTTTTATTATCTGTGAGATTTTGTTATTGTTGGTATTGATTTGGTATTGATTGTCTGTTCTGTTAAGTGAAACGTGAGTAAAGTGCCGATTCTTATTCTGAAAGAAAAATGGAAATAAAGACCTGGATCTAAAGATTTGCCCTAAATATGGTAAAAGAATAGAAATAGAAGGCAGAAAGAATTGAAACCATTAATAAATATGAGCATTTACACACATTACAGGATGGATGCAAACAGGCCAGAAGCTTTATAATACAGAATCCTCTCTCAACTGATAATTTTAGAGTTCCTTGGACACGCATTGCATGCTATGGAACACTATTGTGGCGAGATTTGAAACTCTTTTAAAGTGTTTTACAATAAAGATTTTAGATTTTAAAATTTTATAGACTGGAAAGGATCATGCACATGCAGGTCAGTATATGCAGTGAAAGAAAATGCTGAAACTTCAAGGGTTTTCTTGAAAAGGTGAGTTAATCCTCCAGGGAACGAAGTGCTGACAGATGATGATAAAAATGTTTATTGTTGTTTCGTAACTACACAAATTACTGCACACTTTAACAAGCTTTTCATATTACAATAAATCAGAACAAATGTGACAGTCTTGCCTCGGGGCAGCAACATTCACAACACTAAAACTAATGGTAATCATTTCAGCAAATATAACCGTCATTGTGAAACAATGATATTTTTACACCACCACACCACAGTAATGGGTTAGATTATATGGTATGAGAATAATTTTTGCAAAAGGGGATGATATATAGTATATATGCTTGCAATCAAAACTTTATAATATGTCAAATGTCATTGTATTACTGTGTGACAGGTGGAGGTAGGACCCAATAGCAAAAGGGGAACTACTAGGAATTGGGAACAAAGAAATTAAGAGATAACAACTAGATTACAAGGGAAACACAGCACACAAGAAAAGACACAGGAAAAGAGACAACACAACAACAAGCAGATGAAGACAGACGACTTAAATACACACAGGATAACGAGAGGATGGGAAACAGGAGGAAACACACTGGAACTAATACAGACTAACATGACAGGGGAAGTGGAACTGAGCACACTGAACACAAGGTGAAATATTTTCAAAATAAAACAGGAAGTACGATAACCACAGAGAAACAGACATGGAAACAAGACTGACTGGGGAGACAGAAAGAGAACACCAAACAAAATGAAGACAAGGCCAAGACTAGAAACTACAAATAGTACACAAACCAGAAAAACAACTAAAAGCAAAACCAGGTGTATACACTAAATCTTTGAATATTAAATAAAGGAGAATCCAGAGAGTCCAAATACAAAAACACTGGATTACAGACTCAGTACCGTGTTTATTTGTTTATTTTTAAACTCCCAGCATCTTCTTCACCATGTATCCTGGCATGTTGTACAGGAAAAGAGCCATGATGGCAAGCAGCAGGAGAGCAGTGACAATCTTGATGGTCAGCCACCTGTACTGGTCACAAACCAGGCGTTTCACAGCTTTGAGAGGGATGAGGAACCAGAGGAGGGCAACATCTGGACGGCTGGTGGAGTACAGAGTTATAAACACTGCGTTAGACAAATAACATCAAATAACTGACAAACCAATTTTCTTTCCAAACATCTAGAGGTTGTCACCAATTGGCTTGTACTACATTAAAAATATAAATGAGAAAAAACCAACATATTTGAACCTCATACTCACTGATGACAAAACAACACTGCACTCTTTTTTGTTTTCTATTGAGCACTAAACAAAGAAGGCATTCATATAGAGATGACATAACCCTCTGATAAATGGATTGTCCAGATCTCAGTTTATTCACAAATTTAAAATATCATACACAGATGCAAAGCAAAAAACTGAATTCAAACACTCACTTTTAAACCAGTACAACATATGAAGGTGACTAATGTTCAGTTATTTTAAAAACAAGCACTGAAAATACAGAAAACACTATTTCAACAAACAAGAAAAACTGCAACAACAAAAACAAAAAACCCTCTAATATGATTTGTACACATTAATACACAATATTAGACACACTCAAGTAATAAGTATTATCAGTAGTGTTACTGTGATAGCGCCTGTTTAACAATGCGGTGGTTAGTTTATGATATTGTAAAGCTGAAACCATTCACAACAGAATACAAGTTATCACTGAACACGCAGTCTTTGAAAAGGTAAAAACCTCAGCTGTTTCTCTTAAGCTCCCAGCATCTTCTTCACCATGTATCCAGGCATGTTGTATATGAAAAGAGCAAAGATGGCCAGCAGGAGAAGAGCAGTGACAATCTTGATGGTAAGCCACCTGTACTGGTCACAAATCAGGTGTTTCGCAGCTTTGAAGGGGATGAGGAACCAGAGGAGGGCAACATCTGGACGGCTGGTGGAGTACAGAGATGTAAAAAGACGTTAAAGAAGCCAAAGCCATTTTGGCCCACATATATGCAAAATAATCGATTACTTGCATGATGGAAATACCCACATGATATAACAAGCAAATGTTACTGGTTACCTGTTTAACACCATAACTGATTCCATAGGAATTAAGAGTTAAGTAGCAGCCAGGTGATGCTAGTCAAAATGCACTTGGCTAATTGATCATCAGCAAATGTGAGCACCTCTATAAAAGCATTATTTTTGGTAGTTTGCTGGTCTGGAGCATTCAGGTGTTTGTTAACGACTCTCTTTTACAGGAACCAGACTCAGGGAGGAGGGGCCATCTGCAATTCACACTCCAATGAATGAATCAGGAGTAACTTGGGCTTCAGTATCACAAGTATATATTGGCATACAGATTCAACCAGGGAATAAACCACCAACCTTCCACTTAGTCAACATCTTGCTCTACCTCCTGAGCCACCAATAGAAACACTAGAAAATAATTCTTCTACCTTTTCAACATATTGTATTTAGCAGCCTTTTTCTTTCCACTTTTACCATAGTAAAATATACTTAAGCAACTGCTAAAGGTATTAGGTGGGGGGGTTTATTTCAGAAATGAGCTTCTGCTTTTCTGAAGTGACTGCTGACCTCTCTGTTTTATTTTTTCAGGTGCATTATATGTTTAGTACTTATCCATGGATCCACTCATCCATTTTCCTTTGCTTGTCCAGTTTAAGGTTGTGAGCGTTGCTGAAACCAATCTCAGATGCCACGCTCTGAACAGGCTGCCAATCCATCACAAGGCTTAGTTCTTATATCTCAGAAGAAATGAACTTGTTTCATCTGTTGAGGTGGTGCTTTTGATTATCGTTCTTCCAGTGACTATACTTCTTTTTTCTTTTCCATTATAAAGCATTTTTATTAAAACTCTACTTCAGGAATAAAACTCTATATTGAAAGAAATCCGTGTGTGTGTGTTTTTCTTTGTCCACAAACACATCATCAGGAGCCGAGTAACCAAATTTGTTACATAAGTGCCCCTGCAGATTTTTATCTACACCAGATA